GGCAGAGAACCCTGATTGCTTTTTGGGCTGACGAGGGAGGGGGACTTGATTGGGGGAGGGGGAGGGAAAGAGGAGGCGGCGGTGGGGAAGAGACAGAAATCTTTAATAAATAAATAAATAAATTTTAAAAAAAGGAAATAGTAAGAAGGAAAAAAGGAACAATCTTGTCATGGAAGCTGCAGTGTGACACAGTGAGTCATGCAGTAAACCTTTAATCCATAAAAAAAAAAGTGAGCTTTGTCCACTCTCCCATGGTCCTCAGGGTTTCAGGCCCAGCCTAGGAAGGGGACCTATGTGGGATATGACCCTCTCCTTTCCTGAACATCACAAACATGCTATCTTGAAGTTTTTGTCCTTGTTGAAAACACAGAAGTCCTACAAAAGGTGCTGATTTGTGTCCTCCTCTTCAGTGTAATTGAGCAGCCATATAGCCATACGTCATGGAAACGACACTGATGCCTAAGACTAAAAACATGATGGACGCTTCATCTAGACTTTTTTTTTTTAAGTTTAAAGGTGTGCCCCACCACTGCCCGCTTAGACAGCACTGTCTTTTTGTTGTGGTTGTGGTTATCTTTGTGTGTGCGCGCGCTCTGCTGGGAACCAAACTGTTGTACAGTCTAAGCAGGAGCTCTACATTGTCCTGTTGCTATGAAAGAGACTCCATGACCAAGCACAACTCAAGTTCATAAGAGAAAGTTAATTGGGACTTGCTTGCAGTATCAGAGGTTTAAATCATTATCATCATGATGGAAAACGTGGCTGCAGAAGTAGTTAAGAGTTCTACATCCGAATTCACAGGCAGCAGGAAGAGACTGGGACTGGCTTGGGCATTTGAAACCTCAAAGCCCCAGCCCCAGTAACATATTTCCATGTACTCTAACAAGATCAAACCTCCTAATCCTTCTCAAGTAGTGCCGTTTCCTATTGATTAAGCATTCAAATATATGAGTCTGTGGGATCATTCCTCTTCAAACCACCACATCCCCAGACACACACACACACACCACTTTTTTTCAGTTTTATTTTTTTTGAGACAATACGGCACTAGATTGCCCAAAACTTCCTGCCCCAAACTTCCAAATGCTATTGGCTTCCATACCCCACTATGATTTATTCTTTTTAACTCTACAGTATAGCTTCAAATTCCTCTACCCTGTTAGCTATAGCATTTCTTTCTCATGCTTCTTCCTGCTCATACTAATGCTGTCCTAAAGTCATAAAACCTCAAAATCAGAAGTGACCACAGAGTCAAACATAAAATGATGTGTGAGTCTCAGGGAGTTTCCCAGAAAGTGAAGACCAGTTTCTGCTTACACACCTGCCACGATGACAAAGTCCATCTCTGGACAAGCAGTCCACTCCACTACTAGGTTATCTGGCCGCACAAACAGCTCTTCGTTATACTGAGTCAGACTCCAGACCCCTCTAACTTCCAGCCACTCGCTCTTACTTTTGCCTTTAGGAGACCCAGGGACCATATCAGATCCACCTTCCATATAGCCATCTTTCTCGTACTTGATATCAGTCATCATGAAGTCACTTTTTCTCCATGGAAAGGGGGGTTAGAGAGTTTCCATTTACCATTCTTTCTCTGTGCTGCATCCGGTTGTCAGGTACACCTAGGAAGGACTCTGGCATCCTGTCAAGGTTTTACATGAGCGGTGTAGAATTCGAATGCACCCCACTTCTCCTTGCAGAAATCTACATCATCATCTTGTGCTCTCTTGGGAGCACTGATTTTATGTTTGTGGAATCCACATCTTTTTAAATTAAGAGCTCTGTTTACTCAAACACACACCTTTGGTTGAAGCAATGTTCATTTTCTTCCAGCTTTCTCTAAGTCAGAGGCTAAGATATCATCAGAGGCCCCCTTCATTTCCTGGAACGCAGTCCACCTGGAGCAGAGGTGCTGTCCTACACTTGCTTCACACCTGTTCTGGCTGGTTTTCACGTCAACGTGACACAAGTGAGGGGCATTTGGGAAGAAGGACCCTTAATCAAGAAAATGCCTCTATAGGATTGGCCTAAAGGAAAGTCTGTAGGGCATGTTCTTGATTGATGATTGATGGAAGAGCGAAGCACATTATGAGTGATGTCACCCCTGGGCAGGTGATCCTGGGTGCTACAGGAAGGAAGGTTGAGCAAGCCAGTAAGCAGCATTCCACCACAGCCTCTGCTTCAGTTCCTGCCTCCAGGTTCCTTCTTTGAGTTCCAGCCCTGGCTTCTCCCAGTAATGGAGTGTGACCTGCGATTTATAAAATGAAATAAACTCTTTGCTCCCCAAGTAGCTTTAGGTCATGGTGTTTATCACAGCAATGGAAAAGTTAACTAAGACAACACCTTCCACACTGTCTTCAGCTGCCATATTTGTTCTACCCGCAGTCTGCAAATTCTCTCCTTCACATTGCCAACTAAAAACAAAACAAAACAAACTTGGTAAACATATATCAGTATTCATCCATGGAATGGTGTGTGTGTGTGTGTGTGTGTGTGTGTGTGTGTGTGTGCAGTTTCACTATATATCTCTAGATCACTATGTAAGCCAGATTAGCCTCAAACTCCTAGAAATCCACCTACTTCTGCCCTCTATGTACTGGAGTCAAAAGATGTATCTCTGTTTTCATAATTAGTTTTGCACAATTTGGACATTGTGTGTAACTCAAAGTGAGCTATGGTCCTTCCTATTGTGTAATAATCTTTTGGTACACTGTGAAGAAGTGTCACGCTGATTGGTTTAATAGAAAAATGAATGGCCAAGACTAGGCAGGATTTCCAGGCACAAAGGATGCTGGGAAAGGGGCCAGAGATGGAAAGAGACACAAAGGAAGCAGGAAAGTAGATGAGATAAACCAGCCTCAGGGCAACACATAGATTAATAGAAACTGGTTAATTTAAGTTATAAGAGCTAGCTAAAAACAAGCCTAGCTAACTGTCAAGCTTCAATAATTAATAATATGTCTCTCTGTCGTGATTTGGGAACTGACTGGTAAAACAGAAAAAGACTCCCTAAAAATTGCACCCAAAATGGAGCACATATTTCCACATAAGACCTGAGAAAACTTTTTAAAAGGGTGGGGGTCCAAACATACAAAAAAAGGAGCCAAACTTGACTTCCTAGTCCTGCACGTCTCCTGGTCACTGCATGTGGGCAGCACACCATCGGCTAAACTGTGCAGTGGTTTAAGATCTTTCTCATGTAGCTAAAAAAAGGTTCAGATAATCAGTAAAGTGGGTTCAGATGGAGGGGACTCTTAACAGGTTGCGGTGTGTTTCAAAATGTGTGTAGACTTAAGAAAAAATAAAAATGGGTATAGATAGTCTGAGAGAAAAGTAAATTGCTTATAAATAATTTTTAAAAGCCACATAGAAATGGAAAATACTCATGGAGTTTGGATCCTGTATGGTGTTGTATGGTCTTTAAATTTTTTTTATTACTAATGAGCAAACAATAGCTTCTGAGAGACATTAGATTATAAAAGCTATTAAATTAAATCAACTTATATATTTTTAAATGACTTAACTTCAAAATAAAACTTAAAAAGTATTTTACATTGGGAAAGAGGCTATGCTTTTATTCCCACAGAAAACAAAAGAATGTAAATTCATTCAAGGTTAATAGAAATCAAATTTTTTGGGGAGAAAAATCCTGGCTACAGACATAAAGAAATAAACATAGACAAACTACAAGACAGGTAATGTATAATTTACGTGCTCAAACATAGGACAAAAAGATCATCTTTGGCTGACTTGTGTACAATATTCAGTCCATACTTGTATTAATGCAGATATGTATGTTACCTTTGAAAGTTTATGTGTTTTCAGAGCAAGGAAACCAGACACCAATGAAAGCTGGTGGCCCTGGTGATGCAACCTCTCAGAGTGCCTCTGCTGCAGTTTCCTCAGAGTCCTGCACCCAGAACAGCTTCAAGGCTGCTGGCTGAGAAGCTCCAATCTCACAGACTAGTCTAGCTAGGACCTGACCATTATCCTAATTTTCTCAGGGCCCCTTAAAGATTCCAGAAGCCCAGACAACAGGAAACAGTTTAGAGAACACAACACCCACATCTCCAGAAGGTGAGGTGGGTGACTTTTAGTCATTACGTGAATTATGGATGTTTGTCATTGTTTAGGAGGGTTGATTACAAATTGTTTTTGGTCATGGTCAGAAAAAAAAAACTGAACAAAGGAGATTAGATTCA